TTCAGGACTGTTTTGTGGGGGAACATTCAATCTTGTGTAGGCTGTGTTTCACTCTAGTAGGCACTGGGAAGACAGTAACCCAGGGGAGAGTATGGAAAGATTCCAAGGGCCCTCTGGGGTGAGTTCTGCCAGGTTTTAATGCACCGTAAATACCCATCCTTGCTCCCACTCTGAGCTGCCAAATAGAAGGCAGGGCCTCAAGAAAGCCTGCGGGGAAGCACGTCCAAATACAGAATCCACCAAGCAAGTTACTAGCTGTGGGATTTCAAGGACATGGGCCTTGGGAACCACACCAATTCATGATACAGCTTCTACTTACTAGCTGTGTGACCTTGAGCGAGTTCCCTTGCCTCTCTTTGCTTTAGTTACCTCATCTATAAAATAACTATCTCACAAGGGTAGTTACAAGAATTAAACAGGTTGATATAGAAATAGGATTGCCAGATAGAATACAGGATGCCCAGTTACATTTGAACTTCAAATAAATAATGAATAATTCCTTAGTATAAGTATGTCCCAAATATTGTATGGACATAACTGTATTTTCATTTGCTAAATCTGGCAGGTCATGGGGGACACTTGGCCCCTAGTAAATGTTCAATATGTATCAGATGTCATATTCTGTATAGTTACCTTTGGGAATGAATTCACTACTTTGGAATTTGGTTTTAAGGAAATCGTTGTTCTTAGTTTGAGGTCTGAGTAAACCATATGGAGTTAAATTAGGAGGACCCAGCCCTTCTGATCATGGAGCCACAGAGCACCTCCCCTGGGTATCTCGCCTCATGAGCCAAAAAAGTCCACCTGCAAGGCCTCCTTCACCTGGCTCCACCCCCTCTCTCACCATCTGCTTCTCAGACCAAGTACAGAAGCCCTTCCTCAGCACAGGCACAAGAAGCAAAGGACGAATGCGGGTGGGGGAAGCAAAAATTGCTCAGACCTACTGAGTGCCAGGCCCTGTCCCAGACACTTCTCATGTGGTTTTTCATTCAATCCTCTCAGCAATTCTGTGAACCGCAGAGTACCCATCTACAAAATTGGGGTGATAATAACTCCTGACCTCACAAAATCGCAAAGAGTAAATGAGAAGAGGAAAGTGAAGGCCCTGGGGCGTGGAGTAGGTGATTGGTATATTTCTTTTCTTTCTTCTCTTTCCCATTTCAATCCCTACTTTACCAACAAGAAATAAAGTTGTCCAGGGCTGTGCAGGTGGTAAATAGCGGAATGGACTATATACCAGGCCTGTTGGCTTTTCCACTACACAAGCTACTCTTCTAGTCATCTCCAGGTCTTTGGGCTCACCTCCCTGGTTCCTGGTATCCCACGGGTCTCCAACCCTCCTTTCTTAATCTTCCAAGATGCACCCTCCTTCATAAGCCCCTTCCTCCAGGCAGCCCTCCAGGTTGGCAAGAGGCTGAACACACAGTTGAGTAAGAGAGTAGGGGCACCCCCTCACCTGCAGGGGACCAGCCTCCCCAGGGATCCATTATCCTTCCTTGGAGTCAGCCAAGCACTAGGGGGCTGGGCCATCTTCCCGCAAGCTTACCCACTCTATAATAAGCAAACAGGTCACATTTTGTTCTCCTTAAATAAACTTATAGAAACACTTAATGTTTATTTCACTCATAAATTCCCAGGAATGCACAACAGTTTCCTAACTGCCTGGGTGCAGGGATAAATATAGGCCACTGTCATAGACAGGAATATTAGATTCCTTTCTCCAATGTCACGTGAGTAGGCCCGGGCTAGGAAGCTCTAAACAGCAGCCCCAGACCAAGCCCAGGCAGAAGTGGGGAGTTTAGTTTTTGCACTTGGGCCCTGGCAGAAGGAAGGACCCTGCCGGAGGGCAATGTGGAATAGTCAAGTTGAGGAGGCCTACACTGGAGTCCCATCTGGATGGCCTTAGGCAAGCTACTTAACTTCCCTTGAGTTTCATGTTCTCAAACACTGTGTGGAGCTAATAAGCCCCATTTTTTTCAGGCTTGTTGTAAGGATTTGATAAGCTAAAGCCATAATAATAATGATGCTGAGGGTAGTGGTGGAGGGTGGGCGCTGTGGTGGCTATAATCCTAGGTCCCTCTCTCATAGCCTGGAGGGCAAACAGACACTGCCTCTGGAGAGAGGGGCCCTGGCCACACAGAGGAGTTGGTGCTCTTATGACAGCATAAAAAGACTCTTGGGGACTTGGCAGAAAATAATTATTCAAGCAGTGAGTCCCAGGAGCACAGGAGAGAGCACAAGGGTCTCTGCTGCGGTCTGCTGGACATGGGGCTCCTCCCTGCCAAGCACCAAGTTCCTCGGCTCCCTAAAGACTCCCCAGTACCCACCCTGTGAATTCCTCCACGTATCCAGAGCCTGCCCTGCCTCTGGTGACCCTCTTTTCTACCATTGTCCACTGTATTCCTAGAGGCCAGGGATCAATAATTACCAGATTGTCCTGCTCTTTTTATCATTGTTTTTATTTTCATGCCAAGAGACTTCAGGAGTACACAAGTACACA